GCGAAAAAAGGTACATGTACATTTTTTAACGATTGCTGCGCGGATGTCACCCCATTGAAATCAATGGGGCCACGCGGCAACCGCTGTGTGCACTAGCATACGATCGCGTTGGTCCCGGGTGTCGTGCAGGTGTGAACCCAGCCTCAGTCGCGTCCGGCTCGCTCCTTGCACCCCTCATATGGGTAATTGCGGGTTTCCCTCACACAAGTGACCACCCATGATATGAAGGAAGCAATCCGGATACTAATGGCTGTACGACACCCAATACCTTCCTGAACGCCCCGAGGGGGTTACAGTTAAGTCAGCTGTCTATGCTTGTCCACAACATACCACTTCACCCACACAGCCCTGGAGGAAGGAGATTCACTCCGTCACTAACATGCAGCTTCACTATGCTTATCCGTACATTTCATCTGAATTCCAACACTTTGTGTGCGCTGGCTGACGTCACATTCTGTTCAGCAAGCTATGGGGCTTTGGTCGTGGGGCCCGCGTCTTTTTGTGTATCGCAGAACCTGTAAAGAGTGGGATTTATCAAAACTGGACAAGTCAGAATCTGGAGCGGTTGCCCATGGCAACCAATCATCTATTATTTTCAGTTTGTTCTTTCAAGATTGGAGAATGAAAGAGAGAAGCTGACTGGTTGCCGTGGGCAACTGCTCCAGGTTCTCCAAATTCCCCCTCCATACTATGTCACAGAACTATTTTAAAACTTAAAATGGTGGAGCTGGCACCTACAAATGGCATTGGAGAAAGCACACATGGGCGGCCATTGCAACCCTTAATGGCTGTGAACCAAGCTGTTTACCGACACAGTGTACACAGCATATCTAAGCGATTCTGTACCATGTGATGTTATGACCAATCACAGGGATCACAAATGTAAACACACTTCTGTTTACATTGTTGATCCCTCCCCTTCCTTTTACAATGGCGGAAGGAGAGGAAATATGAGTGGAGAATGGATCTGCAGCAGCTGCTGATCCATTCATTCATTTTCACTGACTGTAAGATCTTCTTATTTTTAACCCTTTCATCGCCTCCTCCCCATCTCTGTACATAGCTAAGCTCCATTCTGTCTCTGATTGTGATCTGTATATCAACCCATCAATTTCAGAGAATCCTCATTTTTTTTATTTTTCAGAAGTCACTCAAAGTAGAATCAATCGCTTTCAGGGCCATATAGGGTCCCCTTCATCAGGCTTAAAGTGAAGTTTAAGCCTGATGAAGGGGACCCTGTGTGGCCCTGAAAGCGCTTGATTCTACTTTGAGTGACTTCTGAAAAATTAAAAAATTAAGATTCTCTGAAATTGATGTGTTTGTCATGCTGGCGTGCTGGTGACATTTCTTTACAAACTTTGCTTGATGCGGCGCAGTCACTGCGAGCACACATTTTATACTATGGGAATTCCGGTAAGGTAGTGCTACAGGACCTTTGATATCTGTATATCAACCCTTCACCTCCCTTATCCTGCGCATGAACCCCCCTCATCTCTTTCCTGTCACTGTACATGACCTGTACATTAACCCCTTCCCCTCCTCTGTATGTGACCTGTACATTAACTCCTTCCCCCTCCTGTATGTGACCTGTACATTAACTCCTTCCCCCTCCTGTATGCAACCTGTACATTAACCCCTTCCCCTCCTTCATGTGCCCTCTACATTAACCCCTTCCCCTCCTTCTGTATGTGACCTGTACATTAACTCCTAACCCTCCTGTATGTGACCTCTACATTAACCCTTTCCTCCCCTGTGTATGACCTGTACATTAACCCCTTCCCCATGTGACCTGTACATTAACCCCTTCCCCCTCTGTGTAGTGACCTGTACATTAACTCCTTCCCCCTCCTGTATGCAACCTGTACATTAACCCCTTCCCCTCCTTCATGTGCCCTCTACATTAACCCCTTCCCCTCCTTCTGTATGTGACCTGTACATTAACTCCTAACCCTCCTGTATGTGACCTCTACATTAACCCTTTCCTCCCCTGTGTATGACCTGTACATTAACCCCTTCCCCATGTGACCTGTACATTAACCCCTTCCCCCTCTGTGTATGACCTGTACATTAACCCCTTCCCCTTCTTCCCCCTCTGTGTATGACCTGTACATTAACCCCTTCACCCTTCTGTATGTGACCTGTACATTACCCCTTCCCATCCTTCCCCCTTCTGTATGTGACTTGTACATTAACCCCTTCCCCCTCTGTGTATGACCTGTACATTAACCCCTTCCCCCTCTGTGTATGACCTGCACATTAACCCCTTCACCCTTCTGTATGTGACCTGTACATTACCCCTTCCCATCCTTCCCCCTTCTGTATGTGACCTGTACATTAACCCCTTCCCCCTCTGTGTATGACCTGTACATTAACCCCTTCCCCCTCTGTGTATGACCTGCACATTAACCCCTTCACCCTTCTGTATGTGACCTGTACATTACCCCTTCCCATCCTTCCCCCTTCTGTATGTGACCTGTACATTAACCCCTTCCCCTCCTTCCCCCTTCTGTATGTGACTTGTACATTAACCCCTTCCCCCTCTGTGTGTGACATGTACATTAACCCCTTCTGTATGTGACCTGTACATTAACCCCTTCCCATCCTTCCCCCTTCTGTATGTGACCTGTACATTAACCCCTTCCCCTCCTTCTGTATGTGACTTATACATTAACCCCTTCCCCCTCTGTGTATGACCTGTACATTAACCCCTTCTCCTTCTTCCCCCTCTGTGTATGGCCTGTACATGAACCCCTTCCCCCTTCTGTGTATGGCCTGTACATTAACCCCTTAAAAAAAATTGTGGCAACTCTTTCCCACTCAAGGGGAAGATTTCCTAAGATATCTTCACCTTACAATGTGTTTACTACAGCCAATCAGGTACTGCACAAATATCCCTTATTAAATGTACTGCATTCCTCTTAACTTGATTAGGTAGCAAAATATGTGAAGGTGAAAATGACTTGTTTGTAAACGAGCTGCGATGTAATAAGAGAGGAAAAGTATGAACAGTATAAAGGCATGATTTCTGTATGGAAATTATAAAGGATGAACACTTATCCTGAGTGGCATGTTGTTACTGTATGTAGAAAATTATTTTTGCACATCTGAAATTAAAAAAAACTTTCTGTGTTATTCTCTTAAAGTGTATGTCAAGCCAAACACTTTGGATGGAGTGAAGGAGAATTAGAACCCATGCCAGGGTTTTTTTTTTTTTGGGCATCCTGTCCTGCTGACAGTAGTTACATTAGAAAGTAGAGAAAACATCCACAACAGAGACAAAGCAGAAAATAAAATACCTGACAAAGGTTTAACCCTCCACACTCTCCCAAACAAAGCAAACAGTTCTGGCTGGACTCAGAAAATGAATTTGCACTTCCAGAAAATGTCAAATGTCTTATGAGGTAATTTAAAAGAACAGTCACAAATGTTCAATATGCAATAGCACACAAACACCGACACACATACTCACATCAACCAACACATACACAGACACCAATACACACACCAACCAACCCTAACACACACACCAATACATACACCAACCAACCCTAACCCACACATACACACACACCAATACATACACCAACCAACCCTAACCCACACATACACACACACCAATACATACACCAACAACTAACACACACACCAATACATACACCAACCAACCCTAACCCACACATACACACACACCAATACATACACCAACATGCACACACTAACCAAACCTAACCCATCTTGGACAGGCAGATCGTACTTGCGATCATCGCAAGTCCTCCCCGCTGAGAGGAGGGCTTACAGATTATTGCAATGGTGAGCGGGCAGTGTCCGCCTGCGCACCCCGACCCGTGCAGCTTTCGTGTTGCAACCCTAACCCACACACACCAACCAACCAACCCTAACCCACACGCCAACCAACCCTAACCCACACATACACACCAGACAATCTCAACCCACACATACACACCCCAACACAGACACCAGCCAACCCCAACCCACACACACCAACCAACCTCAACCCACACACACCAACACAGACACCAACCCCAACCCACACATACACACACAACAGCCCAAACTCGCATATACACACACTCCAATTAACATACACACATACCAACCAACCCCAACCAATACATACACACACCAACATACTCCAGCCCACACACACTCCACAAAGCAAAGCATAGTAAAGCAAACAGTTACATACTTACTATATTACATGCTGTATGTACTATAGTTTTGTCTTAGCGCCCACTTACATTTGTGCGGTGGGTCAATGCAGGTGCGTTGTATGATGCATTGAAATCAACCTGCTCCCGAGAAACCAAACTGCCCCAAAAATCCGTTGTGTCACAAAATGTTTGTCACAATGCTCTATGCCATGCCCAAGCATTGCAACTTGCGGCAATACACCATAGGCCCTATGGTGTATTGCCGCAAGTTGCAATGCTTGTGTGTTGCCTTAGTGCTTCAGATTGAATGGTACTGCAACTTATCAATGCATGTGTGTGTATATATTAGTGTGTGTGTGTTGGTATGTATTTGTGTATGCTTTAGTGCAAATGTAATAGTGTGTGTGTGATAGTATGTGTGTGTTGGTAACCTGTGTGTTCCCACAACACATCAGCCCTTATAGTTGTTGTAGGTGTTTGTAGCGGTATCAGCACACTTGCAACAACACAGTTGAGCCCCGTCTGTGAAACTTTTTTATTTGCACTAACAGTTACATTTTCAGGACAAGCTTTCGGGAGGTGTTCCCATCTTCTCAGTCTACGCCGTGCACTCTTTACCTGTTTTATACTTGTAATATCCTTCTTGTATTTGTGCAGCAGATGAACTCACATCTTTCCATAGCTGTGATTCCCCCCCCGGCTTTGCCCCTGCACAGCGCTCTGACAGTCTGTGTTGGAGCATGTTAATAGTGAAGTGTTATTGGCTAAGTGTGAGAGAAGTGTGTGTTCAGAGGAGGAGGGGTGGGGGGTCCTGAAGCCTCCTACACTCAGGGCTGGGATTTGTGACTGAAACATGATGAAACCATCCTGTGGACAAATGAAATGAGTCTGTCAGCTTCTCCAGGTGGGATTACTTGGAGCTGATAGACTGAAGTCCCAGAGCAATCCGAGCAGAAGCCCTGACACCAAGAGGAGACCTGAAGCCTCTGCACTATGATTCTCCACAGTGTCCTAAACTTATATCAGGTAGGAAATGCTCTGTTACCTTCAACACAGCCAGCTTTTTATTTCAGGAGCGATGCTACCTTTTTTTTTGTGCTGCACAAGGTCACTTTTGTTGACTTGGAAAATTGCATCAGTTTTTAGCCTCTTGGATGTTCTGACTGATGACTTTGTTTTACAGGTAGTCTATTGTATCACCTTTCTATTCGGAATACAAGTTTGTTTTGGATTTACGGCGAATCGCTTGAAACGATCGGAATCGGAATGGGATGAAGGTATTGCATCCGGTAAGTACATTGTTACTTTTCCTTTTTTTTATGGGTTGGAATTTTTTGATTAAGGTGACTGTAGACGTATTAGTATAACGAAGAAGTCACCCGCACTCCAAGGTCCAATGTGCAAAACGCCTCTTATTGAGACGCTAAACAATCATGCCGACAGTAGTGTCAGGATGATTGCTTAGCGTTTCGATGACACTAATGTCAGGATAATTGCTTAATGTTTCGATGATACTACTGTCACGATGATTGCTTAGCGTTTCGATGATACTAGTGTCATGATGATCTTTTAGCGTTTCGATGATACTACTGTCCCGATGATTGCTTAGCGTTTCGATGACACTAATGTCACGATGTTTGCTTAGCGTTTCGATGATACCAGTGTCAGGATGATTGCTTAGCGTTTCGATGATACTAGTGTCATGATGATCGCTTAGCGTTTCGATGATACTAGTGTCCCAATGTTTGCTTAGCGTTTCGATGATACTAGTGTCATGATGATTGCTTAGCGTTTCGATGATACTAGTGTCCCGATGTTTGCTTAGCGTTTCGATGATACTAGTGTCATGATGTTTGCTTAGCATTTCGATGATACTACTGTCCCGATGATTGCTTAGCGTTTCGATGATACTAGTGTCATGATGATTGCTTAGCGTTTCGATGATACTAGTGTCCCGATGATTGCTTAGCGTTTCGATGATACTAGTGTCATGATGTTTGCTTAGCATTTCGATGATACTACTGTCCCGATGATTGCTTAGCGTTTCGATGATACTAGTGTCATGATGTTTGCTTAGCGTTTCGATGATACTAGTGTCATGATGATTGCTTAGCGTTTCGATGATACTAGTGTCCCGATGTTTGCTTAGCGTTTCGATGATACTAGTGTCATGATGATTGCTTAGCGTTTCGATGATACTAGTGTCCCGATGATTGCTTAGCGTTTCGATGATACTAGTGTCATGATGTTTGCTTAGCGTTTCGATGATACTAGTGTCATGATGATTGCTTAGCGTTTCGATGATACTAGTGTCCCGATGATTGCTTAGCGTTTCGATGATACTAGTGTCACGATGATGGCTTAGCGTTTCGATGATACCAGTGTCATGATGTTTGCTTAGCGTTTCGATGATACTACTGTCACGATGATTGCTTAGCGTTTCGATGATACTACTGTCACAATGATTGCTTAGCTTTTCGATGATACTGGTGTCAGGATGATTGCATTTGCGTTTGATTGCTTAGCACTCCGGTCTGGAGTGCGGTGGTACAAAGAATATTGTAGACGTATTACAACACTTGCAGAAACTTAGTTGCGTAAAGTCTGGGATACTTTTTTTTTTTAATTTGCATTAACAGTTACATTTTGATTAATATTGTTGCTGCATTATATAGACATGTTAGGGCTCATGCACACTAAGCCCTGGGGGGTGAAACGTGTTACGCCCCGTTCACATTGCGCGATTCGCAAATTGCGCGTTTGTCGCGCGATTTGCATTTTGCGCGATATCGCGCAAATGCTTGCATTGAGCAAGCGAGAATCGCGGCAAAATCCGCTCCAAAAAGGGTCCTGCTGTAGTGACACACGACCCGCGACAGCAGGACCCTTTTCCCCTATTGTGATGCATTGAAGATCACCGCGCGATAAATCGCTCCATGTGAACGGGGCCTTAGGGGGCAGCGATCACAACATGGACTTGTGTTGATTTTACAATAAACTTTGCAGAGTGATGACACCGGAGATGATTTGTTCTTTTCACGCACATGAGCGACTGAGCCCGCACAATGTAAATACCGGCGTATTTACCAGCCAGGGAACCGTAGGTGCTGCATACAGCCTCCCATAGAAGTCAGTGGCGGTGCCGGTACTTCCATACAACTGTGTATACCAATGTGCATAAATCTCTGGATGCAGAAATCCTGCGTCCAAGGATTTGCATCCATACACATACGCAACTGTACAGTAGTACCAATGAATACTGGCCTACAGCCATTGACTTGTACGGGAGGATGTGCACAGCACCTACGGCTCCCTGGCAAGCAAACGATATAATTTCGATGATACTACTGTCACGATGATTGCTTAGCGTTTCGATGATACTACTGTCGCGATGATTGCTTAGCTTTTCGATGATACTAGTGTCCCGATGATTGCTTAGCGTTTCGATGATACCAGTGTCATGATGTTTGCTTAGCGTTTCGATGATACTACTGTCACGATGATTGCTTAGCGTTTCGATGATACTACTGTCACAATGATTGCTTAGCTTTTCGATGATACTGGTGTCAGGATGATTGCATTTGCGTTTGATTGCTTAGCACTCCGGTCTGGAGTGCGGTGGTACAAAGAATATTGTAGACGTATTACAACACTTGCAGAAACTTAGTTGCGTAAAGTCTGGGATACTTTTTTTTTTTAATTTGCATTAACAGTTACATTTTGATTAATATTGTTGCTGCATTATATAGACATGTTAGGGCTCATGCACACTAAGCCCTGGGGGGTGAAACGTGTTACGCCCCGTTCACATTGCGCGATTCGCAAATTGCGCGTTTGTCGCGCGATTTGCATTTTGCGCGATATCGCGCAAATGCTTGCATTGAGCAAGCGAGAATCGCGGCAAAATCCGCTCCAAAAAGGGTCCTGCTGTAGTGACACACGACCCGCGACAGCAGGACCCTTTTCCCCTATTGTGATGCATTGAAGATCACCGCGCGATAAATCGCTCCATGTGAACGGGGCCTTAGGGGGCAGCGATCACAACATGGACTTGTGTTGATTTTACAATAAACTTTGCAGAGTGATGACACCGGAGATGATTTGTTCTTTTCACGCACATGAGCGACTGAGCCCGCACAATGTAAATACCGGCGTATTTACCAGCCAGGGAACCGTAGGTGCTGCATACAGCCTCCCATAGAAGTCAGTGGCGGTGCCGGTACTTCCATACAACTGTGTATACCAATGTGCATAAATCTCTGGATGCAGAAATCCTGCGTCCAAGGATTTGCATCCATACACATACGCAACTGTACAGTAGTACCAATGAATACTGGCCTACAGCCATTGACTTGTACGGGAGGATGTGCACAGCACCTACGGCTCCCTGGCAAGCAAACGATATAACGATGTATGGACTCGTGCATGTGCATGAGCCCTTAGTGGTTAGTTGAATGGTCATTTGTGTACTTCACATCCAAATCCACTGGCTTGTGTGTCAGGAAATGCGTTTTGCATTTTTTCCCCCCAGCGCATATTGTCAGTACATCAGCTTTTGTTATTGGCTACTGTTATGAGTTATGTTTTAATATTTGAAGGTGTACATGTGACTCTATGAGGATGCTCCAAGTCTGTACATGTGGATTGGTTTGATTTGAAGTTTCTGGATGACATTTGGATATGTGTCAGATGGGCAACTCTTTCACTACCGATCCTGCCACTAATGATCTGTCAGGATTGCGCAGAGGCTGCCTGCTGGACTTGTCCCCTCCGTAGCTGAGGCAGTCAGATGTCACTCCTACCACTAATGATCCAGGTTCAGCAGTGCTCTGGCCAGCGACATAGTGACATCCCGATGTATCTGATTATGGAGGGAGCGATTCAATAGGGACAGACCGGCAGCCCCTTTTAACGATTGTTCAGCTGGCGACTTTATGTACATAGGAAGTGGTTGCGAAGAGTGCAGGCGACCATCGGCACCAAGATACAACAAATAATTTTTTTAAATGATAAAAACATGGCAATTGTTAGTGACGCATGGTACATTATCAAAAGAAAATTCATCCGGTTCGAGTTTATGTTTATGTTTATGTCAAGGCAACCAAACTAATTAGGGGTATGGAGGACCAGAGCTACGAGACAAGGCTACTAAATTTAAACATGTTCACATTGGAGGTGAGGAGATTGAGGGGGGATATGATCTCCATGTACAAAATGTTCAATGGTGGCAGCAACATTAGCGATAAACTGTTTAAAATTAACTCCATTACAAAAACTAGAGGCCGTCACCTAAAATTGGTGGAAAAAAAATTCCAGCACAAGGGGCGAAGGGGGTTCTTCACAGTAAGATCAGTTAGGGTCTGGAACTCACTGCCACAGACAGTGATTTCAGCAAAGAATGTGGAATTGTTCAAGAAACTTTTGGACGATTTCTTAAGGGACCGTAATATACAGGGGTACAGGTACTCCTAGAATGAGATCCTAATAGGTTGGACTTGATGGACTAATGTCTTTATTCAACCTCAAATACTATGTAACTATGTATTGGACGTGATGACTTGAGGATCCTTAGACAGCTGCAGTGGATGTAGAGAGAGAGTCTCCAGTGACCGGTCTAAGAGCAAGCAGGCTCAAAGCATCAGGCGAGTATAACTTTTTTTTTTTTACCCTAGGCAAAAAAAGCTTACAATCTAAGGTCCCTATCTCACATACGAGGGCCAATTTAGACAGGGGCCAATTTAGACAGGAGCCTATTAACCTTGAGAGGAAACCCAGGCAAGCACAGGGAGAACATGCAAACTCCATATAGATAGTGCCTTGGCCAGGATTTGGACCAGGGACCCCCAGTGTTACAAGGCAGAAGTGCCAACCACTACACCACTGTGCTGTCCAAAAATGAGCAGTTAGCCCATGCAGTGCAGGGGTAGCCTTACTGCAAGGGTTAATAAAAGTTTTAACTGGAGTTCTTTAACATCTACAGCCTCTATATATCACCGGCAGGCTTTCTGATGGGGGACAATGACAGAACATGATTGTGTGATGAGCTACGGCATAGCCGTGAACAGTCTCCAGCGAAAGTGCATGTCACAGGGTGACAACACAGGAGCATGATTTGAACTGGAGTTACATATACATAGTTACATAGTATTTGAGGTTGAATAAAGACATTAGTCCATCAAGTCCAGCCTATTAGGATCTCATTCTAGGAGTACCCGTACCCCTGTATATTACGGTCCCTTAAGAAATCGTCCAAAAGTTTCTTGAACAATTCTACAACTTGCTGCCCTAT